CACACACACACACACACACACACACACACACACACACACACACAAACCACAAGTTCAATAAATAAAACAGCAGTTTGCGTCTCACTACCAAAATCCAAAAATCATTTAAAAAATGGAAAAACAAGATTAAGAGATCCCTGTAGGTGGAAAAGAAGCCAGGATTTCATATTCTTTTAGAGTTCATTGTCTCCGTTTGGCCAGAAGGAATTCATTCTTAGGAAAACAAAGGCTTTGTGTGGCGGTGTGTAGTTTGGAGTGGTGCCAGGTGGACGAGGCGGGCGGGAGCACAGGTGAGGTCACCTCGTGTTTCCGTGGAAAATATTGTATCTCTTGGAGCYGATGGTTGTTACCAGATAGTTTGATTAATGTTCTCGCTCTTTCTGCTGCACTACAAAGGCAGCAGAAAGTGCTTCTACACTCTCACTTTCCTCCTAATRATCTGGAAACGGCTGTTTTTGTCTGTGGATATGATTGTTGTTTCAGGACCTGAAACTAAATTCGGTTTGAAGCAGAACAGAGTCGGTTCTCACGAAAGAGGACACTGCTCCCCCCGATGCTTTGGCTCTTGATAAAATTGCTGAACGATCACTTTCAGAGGATAATGGAAACAGTGAGGGGAAAGTTGTGTGAGGTCTGGGGAGCCATTCGAGCTTGTGTAATGCCAAACTCCACGGGGGGGGGGGGGGGGGGGGGGGGGGGGATTATATATTTACTGTTATATTCAGTGTTTTCAGAGTATTTCTTTGCTCTACTGAGTATCAAGCATTCATGGTCTAAACTAAGGCTAGAGGATGTTAGGCAAACAGGATTTAAACCAGTCATTACAGCGCTCTCTACATATTTAGCGGAGTGGGGCTCGGCTGATTGTTAAATTTGTGTTTTGCTTGCAGTTTTTTGCTCACGATGTTTTGGGGCAATAGGCAAAAGTTTTTCATCAGCTGTCATCAGTTCATTCATTGGCAGATAGTTTGAGGACAGGTGGAATAACCAATCCCTGTTCTCCTTACAACTGTGAAAGAAGACTGTAATGAAAATTCAAGAAAGTTTGGGATTATTTATAATTGATTTGAGATTAAGTTCAAGTTAGCCTTCTCACTTTAATTTCTTAGTATTTTTTTTTTATTGTAGTGTTTTTTTATTGCCATTTCATTAATATTGTGTTTTCAATGTTGTAAAGTGTCCTTGGGTGTCTTGAAAGGCGCTAACAAATAAATTGCATTATTA